AATAATTTGTGACAAATAATCTGAAAGATAGTTAATAACTTTCATTTTTATTCAATTTAAAGCTTTCTGATAAAGTTTATTTTTTGTTTTGTTTTATAGTGCGTAAATAAACAAAGATGATGGTTTTCCGACGCGCGAACACGCGACGTATAATTGTCCATGCGCGAAACATGGAAACCCATGTTGATTCCGCAAATTTCCAACGACTGGCCTTGCGGTTTATTTATGGTCATCGCAAAGACCAGACGTACTGGAAATTGTAAACGTTTAAAATGGAATGGTAAATCCGTTGGAATCATCGGTATACGCGGAATCAAAACATCCTCTCCTTTGTATTTTCCTTTAATGATTGTTGCCTCAATGACGTTATTCATCACCTTTTTCACAGCCAGTCTTGTTCCATTGCACAGTCGAGATTGATTAATGTTACGCAGCATGATGACAACTGATCCTACTTTTAACTTCAAATTGTGAGGTGGTAATCCAGGCAATTCCAGTGAATTTAAAAACTCCGTGGGATAGTTTACTACGTCATCTTAGTTCATAACGGTGTCGACTGATTTGAAGGAAACCAACTGGCCGGGAAGAAAATTCTGAATAGTCGCATTGAGATCCTCGACATCTTTATTTTTCGCCGCCAATATTGCTCGTTCACCCAGCCAATTATGGTTATTGAACTGTTGCTCTATATCTGGGAAAACACGCTGAATAAGCTCCTCTTTTGAGTCTGTGATGCGACAGAAATCTGTGGGTAATGTGATTAATCCGGTCGAGGTGTCTACTGCGACTTTATTATTTCAAATGTCTAACAACTGCTTCGCAAACACATTTGCAGTTTCATCTTGTTGTAAAAATACTCGCATGTTAGTTGTTAATTGGAGTGTCTTTACGTACCGCTACAAACTCGATGATTTTAGGCATGCATTTAGTTCATCAGCAACAGTTGATCGAGGAATAACTGGAAGAGTCTGACGAAAATCACCTGATAACAGAACCATGGCCCCACCAAAAACATTTTGGTTGTCACGAAGATCTTTCAAAGTTCTGTCCAGTGCCTCCAGTGACCTCTTATGGGCCATTGTGCATTCATCCCAAACAATCAATTTGCATACCTGTAGGATCTTGGCCATTGCGCTATTTTTGGCGATGTTGCAAATTGGTGTTTCGTTGATTTGCATGTTTAATGGTAATTTCAAGGCAGAATGTGCAGTTCGCCCGCCTTCTAGCAGAGTCGCAGCTATTCCAGATGAAGCCAACGCTAGAGCTACATCATTTCGCGATCTGATCCTCGCCAAAAGCAATGAAATTAAGAACGTTTTTCCGGTTCCTCCGGGAGCATCAAGGAAATAAATTCTACCAGATCCACTGTTCACAGCTTCTATCAAATTGTCGTACGCAATTATTTGTTGTTGATTTAATTTTGAAACATTTGTACGAACTGTTTCGGCCAATGCTTCAATGTCGTACTGTTGTTCTCTTTGCAACTCGTGGTTTAATGCATCGTGCATACAACGATTGGGTGCTGTCATTCCCAAACACGACAATACTTTATTTGCCATCAATAAACACATATATTCTATCGTGATCAATGTCTCATTGTAAATTTCTGCAGTCATTTGTAGTGTAGGATTCAGAGTTTGACGGCGCACACGATGCAAAACATCCTCAGACATGTCATCTCTATACTTAACCCACAAATCTTTTGGATTCGAGGGGAAACATGTCGATATGATAATCGCAAACAACGTACGAATTTGATGCGGCGATGAAGATATTACGGAATCCTTGAACGTATCATCCCAGTGCAAATAATAACATTCATCGTTATTTGGATGTACTGTGTAGATGCGACCCAGAGCGTCTGAATCAAATACATTTGGATGTCCTTCAACTGGTGTTCCTTGTTTTCTACGCTGAAACGATTTCGATGATGCATTCCATGTGTAATAGCGTGGCATGTCAGCATACAGCAAAGTGCGAGCAAAATCATCAGTTTGACAGACTGTGAAGAAACTTGTTAATGTTGTCGACGGTGGACGTGTCGCTCTGTCTGCCGCGTTCGATTCATTATAGTAAACTCGTTGATCATTTTCTAAATGGACTGCCAAATGGACTACTGTAGGGTGTCTTTCATGGATCGCAAATGAAAATATACGCCAAATTGCTTCGTTGCTACTTACATATCGACCCATCTGGTACTGTGATACTTCGTCATTTGCATTGGTTACAGCGAAGACGGCCATATCGCTACCTTTGTTAACATATTTACATATGTACTTTATCGACTTCACAGAGTTACAATATTCCATATTGATGTGAGTCTCCAAAGCTTTGGACAATATTGGCGAGTATGGCACAATCCAACGATTGTCTACATCAACATTTTGTCCTCTTACCTTCACAACTACCAATCGCCCATTGTCCGCAACTGATCGCCGACGATACAATGGGTATCCATCATTTCCCGTTATGGTTTCAGCAATCAGGTCTCTTGGGTATCGCTTGGAACACTTGCCGTCGACCATACAGGGTGAATTGTAGTTGCAAACTCCGCAAGGTCCATGTATCATGTGTTTGGTAACTATTGCATGCAATTTTGGGTCAACTGTTTCATCAGGAATTTCAGCTGAAATTATGGAATCAATATCATCTGGCCTTATTTTGTCCACTAACCAGACTAAAATGTGCGCATGTGGCAGACCACGATTTTGCCATTCTACAGAGTACATCCAACAACGGACTTGGCCATACACGCGATGCTTTATGAAGAAATTCATGAGAGATTTTAATTTTTGTTTAAAAACTCTAGCAGTGATATCATGTCTATCAACTGGTGTTTGGCTATGTAGCAATTCCCTCTTGATTTCGGACCATTGTGGGTTACAGGTGAATGTAACAAATAAGTCTGGGCGGCCATAATGCCTAACATATGACATAGCATCCTGAGCATATTCGTGCATGTGGCGCGGGCTTCCTATGTAAGTAGCTGGCAAAATTGTCATTCTTCCCACATTATTTACATTGCCATCGGCATTTATAGCATCGCGGAGATGAATGTATTCCTCTGATCGAAGCTGTCGTTGGTTCAAACGGATGTATGTTAATCGTTCAGTCTCAATTTTGACATACATGTCAACGGCAAACTGATGAAAAAGTCGTCGACACATCAAAATATGATTTACTTCACCCTCACGGATCATGAGTCTATATGAATAGAAATTCATAGCACTAACTTTTTTGTTTGTGTCAACACCTGCAATTAAAAATGATAACTTTTTAATTTGTTACTTAGATGAATTGAATCTAGAAATATTATTTTATCTTGTTCAATCTAGTTACCTGTTAGTTGATTTACCATTTTGATATTAAAATGGTATCCATCTTCCCCCTGCCAGAATATCAAAGGATATTGTAACGCATCATAAGTCCTGTTTGTTTCAGATATACGTTTTAAATCATTATTCCGACGATGAAGCACAATATCCCTAGATTGTAAATTTTCTCCCACAATGACAACAGCCACTTCGTCAATGGTAGGTGAATTAAATCTCCTTGTGTTTTCACCGGCAGGTATTTTGTCCGCTCGAATGACAATATTATGGCTGTCAGATGGCATCCGATCCAATGCTATTTTGAAAATGTTTACTAAATTGTTGTTCTGATGAAGAAACATTTGTAATTCTTGGATAATGGTTCTCTTCACTGTTGGATTGTGAGCACAACGTTTATCAACTTCCGCATCTGAATTGCCCATAAAATAAATTTGTAAAAATTGATAATCTGCATCTGGTAGTGGTAACAGCGCCCCCAGTAAGTGATAAATTTGTCCTTGTATCTGTAATTTTTGAAGATTTCTCCAATAATTATTTCTGATATATATTTTAATATAAATTTGAATATTATAAAAAAATATTATGGTATAATACCTTGAAAGTGGGCATGAAATTGTCCTGTATAATATGTGTAGCGCCAAACGATGTCATTTGGAAACAGCTGTTATATTTCTGAATGTTGGCCAAGAAGTGCTTAGAATCATTTCCAATCCCAGAAACTAAAGAGCGTAAAGGATCTGGTGGTGGGACCAATTGTGGCAATTTTACTTTTTCTCCAGCACAACATAATCCAGTAGATTCACCACTATATTTTAACGCCTTACAATATTTACAAATAATAGTCATTTCCCCAATTGTTAGCGATTTGTCGGCATAATAATCTATTGCCGGATCATAGTGGAATGCAGCTCGTTCCAGAATCACAGGAGCACTGCGTCTGCGGAATCGCTCAATTTCATTATGTCGTGCTCGCTGTTGTTGTGTTTGATGTTCACGAACTTGTTGCATTCTAAGCCTATCTACTTCATTGTCACTCACTAAAGAACGCAATTCTGACATTGCAGTACGACTATTTTCTTGATCTGTCTTTCTCTGGTCATTAGTGCGATTAGCACGTGCAGTTTGACTTCGCACATTTGATTGACTTCGACGACCTAAGTCAGGTCGTCTTCTCCTTAGCATCGTAAATTGTAAATAAACAAAATTCTTTATTTAGCGGTAATCTTCACTTACCAAGATAGAAGGATGCACTGTTTGTCTGAGGTATCGATCTACGTAGAAGATGGATCGACATATTATTTGGTTGTCAAATGTCAAAATCTAAGTCAGGTCGTTTCCATGGCATCGTAAATTGTAAATAAACAAAATTATTTAGCGGTAATCTTGACTCACCAAGATAGAAGGACGCACTGTTTGTCTGAGGTATCGATCTACCTTATTATTCACCTTTTAAACCTTCCCTGGACGTCCACAAATAATTCAAGACCAAAATTAGCCAAATCGGTCCAGCCGTTATCGAGTTTTAGCGTGACTAACGAACAGCAATTCATTTTTATATATATAGATAACAGGGGTTGTGTTTGACCCAAGGAATTAGTCGAGAAAGTTAGCGACTAAAAACAGAACTTACATAAAATCGCACAACATAATAAATACCAAAAATCATACATATATACAGGTACTATATATAATACTATATACTGTATAAGGACCTTTATTTATTTTTAAATGAATAAATGTCTTTGGTGTTATGTCTGTTTTTGGTGTAAAATATTTCTAATAACACACATTGCTTTTAAAGTTTCTTCACCCATTCTATTTCTCTTTTTCACTTTAACGTCGGACACCATCGAAAAAATTCTTTCTGCCTTAGCATTAGAATGAGGCAATGTTAGAGCGATAGTGGCGAGTAATCCTAAATTAAAATTTTTTGTTCTAATATGGAGCCACACAAGTTTTCCATTTCGTTTTGATTGGGAGAGACAGGTAACTTCTGCCATTCTATTGTTAAATCAGTTAAGGCAATAAAATTTGCGAATTGATTGCCTATTGTTATTATATCTGTTTCCGAGTTCATAGTTATAGAAAATGCAACCTGAGGGTCTAAAAACTCCAATGATCTAAATATTGGATCGTTAATCGCCTTTTTATGATTTCTGTTGCTGCCGTTATGTAAAACGATAAGCATTTCTTGCGGAACTCTTCTTGACCATCAACTGGTACTCACTTTAGAAATTGCTCACATTCCTCACCTAATTTAATTTTATTTAAAGATAAAATGTTTTGAGGATTACGTAAATCGATTTCTACTATTTTATTTTTCATACACACTTCCGGTTTTAAATAATTGCTGCATAATTGTAATAATATATTATGACAATGTTGACGTAACTTATGGATTAATATATAATTCGACTGAAATATAGCATTGAATGAATTCAGAAAATTTAATGAATATTTCATGAAGGTATAAATTCTTCATGTCATTATAAATATTTTCTGCACTTTTCAATTTGTCCTCAGTAATGGCTAGTAAAAAAATCGTTCCAATACGTCCCAGTTATTTAAAATACGTATGATACAGTCATGCCGACTTAGGCAACATGTAGTGGCTAGCTTTAAAATTTTCTGTTTAGTCTGTGTAAAATATTCTTGTAATTCTATCAAAATAGCACAACGTTTTGCACTTCCTGATACGTATGTGGCTATATTTCTAATAAGGTCTTCCGGTCCCCTCGGCAATTCCTCGCAAGACTTGCTAGCGACTAAAGCTGCTGAATGATAAATGCACCTCATTAAAACAGCATGAGGTACATCTGTTTTCAAATGGGAAAAAAATGATTTTTTTTTCGCCCACCATTGTGTTGGCGCCATCACATGCAGCACCTGTACAAATAAATAAATCAAGTTATTGGTGCATTATTAAATAAATATAGATTCTTTTTTTATCTATTATATTACTCAGTGGTATATTTCATTAAACAATTCTTAAATGAATTGTAAATATTTTCGGCTCGGCAATCTGTGGCATCCAATGAAACCAGTTCGAGAAGGTTGGTTTTGATTGCATTTGTTTTTATGTCAGGGTATCTGATTAGCAAGCACATATTTTTATTTTCGGAAATATCCGTACTTTCGTCAATTGATACGAAAAAATAATGGTTGCGTAAATTCTCTATTAAATTGTTCGTTTCATGTGCACCTAATACATTATTAATTATTTGTCCACACTTAGTTCTTCCCAACGTTACATCTTGGCATATTTTAGAATCATTGAAAATTGTTTTTAGTAAAGGCACTAAATGGTCTACAACTCGCGTGTAACGTTGTGTTCGGCGAAAAACAAAGATAATTTAATTTTGGCTTTGTTTACTTTCTCAATGTGTTTTTCTTCGGTTTTATTAATAAAATAGCTGGTCAATGATTTCGTCGTACCAACAGCCGACATATTTTTTATACGTTTCTGACTAAGAGAATGACGTAGAATTTCGGTTTTCCTACAAATTAACTCCACACCACAAACATTGCATCTAAAATTAAGACAAACGAATTAAATTATAAATAACTAAATATACGTATAATATTATGATTATGATGAAATGATAAAAATCAGCGTGGCGCAAAGAAAATTATTTTCTATCGATCGAACTCTCATAAAAATCTTTGCGAACTTCCTCAATAAATTATCTCTCATCTGCATATATCGGATTTATTTCAAATTAAAATTAATGATCACTAAATAGCTTACCTGCATTTGCATTTACTTTTTTTATTTGGTATCAACCATTTATTAAATGCGGAATCTTCCAGCCGAGCTTCCTGGAAAACTTTAGGACCTTTTCCATATCTTTTTTTGTGGGGGCTCCGAATGTTCCGAATCGGATGATGATACCTCCATTATAAGTAATTAAATTAAAATCTATGGTTTTTTGTAATGGTAATTCCTTTACAGTAACACTCGCAGAAGCGTACGAAACTTTAGTTTCTCGTGTTCTAATAGTAAGAAGAGCGCATCAGTGATAAACTAATTAATAGCAACAAAATAACAACAATGAACAACAAAACTTGATAAAACACTTAAAAACAAGACCTTTTACTGAGCGACTCAACAGCAGCTGCTAAACTTTTTGTTGGAATTGAAGTTTTGATTATAATTTTAGAGAGAAACCACCGTAAAAACCCGTCATAAAATGTAATTTGGATGGAAATACAAGTAATAAAATTATTTATAAAGAGAAATACAATACAAAAGAATTTGAATACAGTGGTAATCCGACAAACAGTTTGCAGGGCAGTGTCGGATTAGCGAATTTGTCGGATTATAAAGTACTGCCTATAGTCCGGAATTTTTTACGAAAGAGTACCTTGTAATCCGACAAATTACAGATCCAATGATAAGATTCTACATGTTATATCTGTATATTCTGAAGTACAAATCATACTTCATTATCTATGTCAAATTTAGTAAATTAAACAACACAATAGAGAGCTTACGTTTTATTATAAAATTAACGTTATTAATGCTATAGAACTCACAAAAAATAAGCAATAACTTTACATTAAGAAATAATTGTGTACAAACAAATGTACATACTAAAATAATAAAAAATTATAAGTCAATCAATTTAAGAAGCATGAAAATATTTATCAATTTTTTTTGTTTAACGTTGTTAAAACACGAGATTAAAGCTTTGTCCCTCAGTCTTCTTAAAAGCAGAAGTTCGTTGTAGGATGCACCATTTGCTTCGGCCCATTGCAAACCCAGCTCAAAGGCGTTAATTGCATCTTCTGCTGTCACTTGTGGAGTAGTTGCAATTACTTCGTCGTCATCTTCCTCATTTATTGTTTTATAACTAGAAATTTCTTTTATAATCTCTTCGTCAGACATTTCATGAAAAATATTTTCCTCTTTATCCACTCCACGGCACCAGGTTTCCAAATCTTCTGGAGTTATCTATGTTTCAGCAGCAATTTGCTCTATTACTATTACCGAAGGTACACTGATTTGTGGATCGTTGGTGGGAGTGGCGACTATATCTGGCCATAACTTTTTCCAAGACGATGTAATAGTTGATGACGGTATTCCACGAATAACAAAGAGTAAAAACCGAGTCCTTCATATTAAATTCTTTTAACCTTTTTTCTATTGGCTTGTTTTTTGATACGGTTTTCAGAAGTAGGTTTCTCTTATAATCTGGCTTTACAAACTGAATGATATGCTGATCCATGGGTTGAATCAGTGCAACGCGGAAGAAACATCGCAGTGGTGCATTTATCCTCAGCTGTCAGTTCTTCTTCAAACGGATGACCAGGAGCGTTATCAAGAAGCAATAACGCTTTTTGAGGAAAATTATGATCTTTTAGTCATTTTATAACTTCTGGTACGAAGCATTCATCAAACCACTTTTTGAAAAGATGTCTTGTCATCCACGCACTTTTTTGTCCATAATATCTGTACACTGTAAATCAATGTTTTTGAATGCACGTGGTTTATTAGATTTTCCAACGACCACCATCTTTAGCGTGAGTGTACCCGCAGCGTTAACACATGGTGGTATGGTTACACCTTCTTTACTTACTTTTCGTTCAGGTACGGATTTTTCATTACAGGAAACAAAAATTTCGTTAGGCATCACACACCGAAAAAGCCTTGATTCGCCTGCATTATACACCTGTGACGGGTTAAGATTTAAATCTTTCACCAATCAGAATAACCAAACGCAGGCGTTTTATTTTAGAAGTTTATTAAAGTAACTCGTGTACAACTTTATCGTGACAATGACGAATGTAGAATGAATATAATAAGAAATACACAATGAGAAAAGTATGAATCGTTTCACAGGGCTGCCGAACAGCTCTTATCAGTTCACGGTAACCCAAACATCCATCAACATCCCTGCCATCCCATTAGAAAAAACTAATTACAATTTCTAATTTACTGTTTTTTTTTGCTGTTACAGTTGGCTGAATTTGAATTGGAGTGGCGGGACTCTTGCTTTCTATAATTTATAATTTTAACGTAATTATTAAGCAAAACATTAGCAAAAGAAGATAAAATTTGGAAGAATATATCTTTATAGTGTTTTCCAAAACTAAATATTTTTGAAAATAGTTAATTTTCCTAAAATTGGTTTTTGGTGTTCAGCCCGTAAATATTGTGTCTGCAGATTTTCGTTATTACTTATTTCTTCAAGAATGGCATAAATGTGAAAAAAAAAAAACTATACTAATGCTATCAGTAGGAACAGAAAGTCCTCCCCTTTGTAAATAATCAAAATAAATATCTCCAACGCAAGAGCCTTTATTGTTTATTATGAGCGAAACACAATTGTTGCAAGTTATCTTTTTACGAGCAGAATGAACTGCATATCCTGAAATGGAAATTTTTAAGGAGTCAT